CTATGTCATGTTGCTCACAAAAATTGGATTACCTACAAAGTGTCGGGCATGAACCCACGTTGGGTGTCCGATAAAAGCCGAGAACAAAGGCCCTTTCCCCTATTTAAAGTGAGAAAGGGACAAAAACCCCAGTTAGGTTATGGGGTTTTTGTCCTGTGTGCTTTCCCTACACTCACCAATCAATAAAACAAAGTTTATTCTCTAAAGGATTATTTTGCGGGTTTACAGATTATGGTTATTTGTGGTTTACTACAGATATCAGTATTAAACTCACGGCACAATACGGATATAAATAACCCCTTTTAAAACCCAAAAAGATGAATGATCACGTTGACCCTGTCTAAAAACCTCCAAAATCTAACACAAAATCAAAGCTTATTGGAAATAATGCCTTTTTACCACATCACAACCACACTTCCTAAAACACTGCTCAAGTCTACTTTTGTTAACTACAAAAGGGCCCTTAAGAAAACACAGATGACCCCCTGGCACCCCTTTGATCGCTAAAGACATTTCCCCTCCTGCATCAAGAATCACCCATACCGGGATAAAAGCAATCCAAAACTGCAACCAACCAAGTTGGGGGTGGTTTTGCAATCTATTACCCCAACCAACTATTTTTTTATTTTTTAAATTTGAATATGATACAGAGAAGTACAAAAGAATAGTTAAATGCAGCAGCCAAAGCCCTTGAATGCAAGCATTCGGGCGGGCTTAAAATTAATTTAAGTTTTAACTAAGAAATAAGTTTCGTGGAAAAAAACATTATGTAAACAGATAACAATTAAGACAATGATATTCCAAAATCGGTCGTATGGTTTTGCTTGCATTTTTTTTTTAACTACTTGTAAAGCACCATTTGTTTTGTGATGAATGTGGGGAATACATTTTTGCAATTTCCTTTAAAAACCTTAGACTCCTAAAACAAGCGAGAAGAGATCCCTTCCTTTGATCAAGACCCCACCACATCTAATTATATTTTTTTTTATAAAAAAAAGAAGCGTTTAGCCACGGGGCAACAGCGCGAAACCCTAAAAAACCCTTGGGGGGGTGGGTTACCGGAGAAGAAAGCCATTGGCTGTAAAGAAAGTATTTTTTTGTTGACCAAGAGAAGGTGGTTACAGGGGGGTAGAGAAGGGCGCTCATGCAAAGTTTATAAAGGTTTTTTTAAAAAAGTACATCCCTCACACTTCATGGGGGATAAGCCCTTCGCCTGACTTTTTTTTGGTTATCTTAGGGAATTTACATACTTTATTTTAATTTAATTTTTAGTCACCCAAATTTTGTAACTGTACCTAAAAAAAAACCTTGCTGCCCTTTAAAACCGGTGGTGGAGGCGTAAAGATTTTTGTTAGCAGCGGGCTAAGTAGCAAGACTGACCCAGTACTTTAGCGTTGTGTTGATTGTAAAATAATAAGAGATTACTCTATGACCTCCCAATAATGTTTAAAATGTACTCTGTGATGAGTGTATCCAAAATTAGGAAAAGTAGAGATTCCGGGGAAAATCAATGACAGGGGAAAATATGAAATGTGGGAGAAAGGTAGTTTTGGGGTCAAAAGAATGGGGAGTTGTTAAGATTTAGGAACTGGAAAAAATAGGGAAGGTAAAGAAAAGTAATTTCACAAAAAAAATGTTTAGAAGAAGAAAGTCCATTTACATGTAGTAGGCATGAGAAACGGAAGGGGACCAATTTTTTCGAGAAATTGGCCCTGGAAAAAATTTTGCAAAAAGAAAAGGGTTTCAAATTGCCTACAAAGTATTTTTTTCTTTGCCTATAAAGGCAGTAAAATGCTTTTAGAAAAATGTCAGTCGAGAAGACCTTGGGAAACCCCTTAGTAACTAGAAATTTTCTGCTAGCGTAAAAGACCCGTAGGTTTAGTGCTTTTTTTTTATTATAAAATTTTAAAATTTTTAAACCCAGGCACTTTTTTTCTTAACATTTTCAGCCCCCCTTAATTTTGAACAACAAAGGATTTTTGACGACCTATATTAATTTGTGGCACCCTACCATTTTTCTTCATGGATTAACACATACAGTATGTGCCTGTAATTTTTTTAATAACATATTTGTTTTATATATTAAACAAGAAAAAGTTACTAAACAAGTTACAAATAGGGAAAAAAAAAAACTTACAATAAAAGACAAATTTAGATTTAGCAAGTATTGCACCCTTCCTAACCCTGGTATCTAAAGTTATACAATTATTTGGTATTTCATTTTTTTTTATTTTACTCCCAAACTAATTTAGGTGCTTCACATAATATTGCTAATACTTTCATAACTTAATACAGATGTGTATGTGGTAGCTTAACAACCTATCTGAAAATTGGTATACTAATTTTAATTATGTAACTGTTTCACATTTGGGTGGGAACCTTAATTTTCAGTCTACTTAATTTTTTGAGAATTTATATACTGTTCTGTAATAAAAGAAAAATATTGTAGTTGCTCATGAAACCCTCTAATTTTGTATTTCAGGTACCACTGCTGTCGGTTGTCTCTGCAAGTTACAGAGTTAGGAAGTTGCCCAGTTAATAGACAGTCAGAACTGACTGGTTATCATTAAGAATTTTATTAGTACTGTAGCAGCATTGTGGAAAAAGAAACAATGTCAGAGCATAATGTACCCAAATTGCAAGTATCACAAGACTGATAAACAGGCAATCTGTCTCAAGAGAAAAAGGAAAGGTTCAGAATACTGTGAGAATAATGTGAAGAAGCTGAGTTCAAGTAAAAATGAAAACATGTCTGAAAAAGATATTCCCGTAAAATATCCACGTAAGGAATTACTGGCAGGAAAACAGCTTGTTCTTAAGGCTGTGACAGAATTACTTACAGCTGACGAAGTCTTTTTTGATGTAGAAACAACATCCTTAAAATGGAATAGTGATATCATACAGATTGCTGCAGTGTCTAAAAATGACATTTTTGATGAATATATCATTCCAAGCCAATTAATAGTCCCTAAGGTATCAGATATTACAGGAATCACATTTTATGATGGAGTTTTTGCCATTCATGGCCATCCTCTTGAGGCAAAAGCTCGAAAAGTTGCTGTTCATAATTTTTTGAAGTGGGTGGAATCAAAATCTCCTGTTCTTCTTTTTGCCCATAATGCCAAGTTTGATTATACCCGTTTCTTCCATGCAATTGACAAAGAAGATCTTGTGAAACAATTTCAGAAACACATAATTGGATTTGTTGACACTTTAGAAGTGTTTAAAACTGAGTATCCAGGATTAGTTTCATACAAGCAAGACAGGCTAGTGGAAAAATTCCTTAAGAAGTTTTATGACTGTCACAATGCTGTGGAAGATTCAAAACTTCTTCAAGAGTTATACAATACTACTCGGCCTCATGGTAATGCTAAGTTCTGCACCTTCACATCTGCTTATGATAAGTGGATTTGTGATTCAGCATGCAAGATGAAAACAGAAACTTTTCGATCAATGATTAGGAAGAAGTATGTATCGGGTAGTATGGCAAAAAAAATGGCATATTCAGGACTAACTCTTGAAGATTTGCATTGTGTGTATGAGAAGGATGGGAATGATGGATTAGTGGCACTCCTTAGTGGGGATGAAGCAATGGGAAAGCCTTGTATCACAAAGCATAAACGAATCATTAACAGTATAATTTCATACTTGCATAAATTTAAATCCAAGTACGTAATTGTATAATACTAGTATTGCCTATGTGCAGCTAAAGGAGCAGACCTATGCTCATGGTGTCCTGGCATCAGTACTTTGTTCAAATACTTTTTTTTTTTTAAATTTGCAATGGTCAGTTGAAGCACTACGTACTTCCTCTTCATTCTATTCGTCAAACCACCTTGCAAAAAACTTTTCCAGTGTGCTTTTGGTTCTTTATCCCAATTTATATCTGTGGCCTCTTGTTGCCCTGTTGTAGGTGTTAAGGCTGTATGACCCTTGTGGGTTTAGTGATTAGTTTTGATTATAATAATGTAGGCACTAAGAATTCTAATTCATCTAGTTTTTCATGTCCTTTTATAACTTAGTATGTAGCTACCATGTCATCTTTTTTCTATTAGCCAGTGTGGGCATCTGTAGCATTTTTAGCATTTCATTATAACTCTTAATTATTTTGTAGCTGTTTGTTGGACCATTTCTAACCTATCCAAATATTTTGATGTGTGCACCACACAACCACTGCACTCTATACCAGTTACAGCGGTATTCAGTTCATAATATATATAGAATTAATAATGTTGTTAAGAGGACATTCAGACCAAGTCCAACTGGTAAGCCTAGTTGCTGCTTCTGTGGCCCACAGAATATAAAAATGAGAAACTAGTCTCACAGCACTAGCAGTTCAGAAAAGAGAAGATAATTTATGCAGTGAGAAGCTATAGGTGAAGGATGATGCAGGTATACAAAATATGTGCTACAGTATATTTAAGATGTAATGCTGTACAAGATATTACAACAAATGTAGTGATATGAAATTATTGAAGTTTATATTTAATTATGAGAAATCTGACATTAGCTTATTGTTGCTTGTATTGTGGAAGAAGCTAGCCATTATTAAGTGTGAAGAACAGCTTTAGGAGTTGATCTGTTTTTGAACTACTCAAAATCTTACAGAATAAATACTATATATAAAGATATGAAAATGTTATACACAATGCATAACAGTACTTGAATCTTTCATATATGATGCTAAAATGAGTACTGTATAGTAATGTGTACTCTAATTAATTTATTGTTAGTTATTGGCTTGTTACAAATGTTAAGTTTTTGTTTACATAGTATATTTTCCTATGTACAGTAATATGTATTTAAATTTTATGAATATTTAAGTAATGACTGTATGCTTGAGAATTGATAACTAATTAAATGTATGTTTATGATTTATGAATAACATAAGATTACTTGTACTGTAGCTAGCAGAATTAAACCTATTATGACTACGTACAGTTTATTATTGTATTCCCTGTATTTAGTCTGTTAATAATTTACTGAGTAGAGCCCATTAACTTCAATCTCCGGCACGTACTGAATAACCTTTGCAGGCATTTTTTTTTTTTTTTTAGAGTGCAGCATGATACTTTATAGTGTGCGCGTACAGTAAAACCTCTTATACTGCAATTGACGGCAACTGATTTACTGCAGACTCTGATGATGATGCCTCTAATACTCCTCATGGCCCTTTCTATGTCAATCTCTTGCTACCCTCTACCCCTGCACTACATAACCTAATAATCATCCCTCTCCCTCTTGCTACCCATTACCCCTGCATCCTTCCCAGCCCAGCAGTGCTGTATGACCCTTGATAGGTTTAGTGCTTTTTTATTATAATAATCTTAAACTGATTTCATAGTGCAAATTTGTATAAACATGGCTTGAAAAAGTGCGTAGCATCGATTTACACACAAAAAAATCTTGGTAATTAGTGCTGTAGAAGTTTTACCCCTGGACCCAAGTTATGCTGTAATTACACATTCCTGTTCCCTTTAACAGTGATGTATCTGTAATTGTTGAACATGTTGGTGATTGATAATTTGAGAATTTAAATGAGCAAGGTGTAGTGTAAATAATAGGCATTCACTGAGAAGCAGCCATTAATTACATCAGCCAACTCCTCACACATCACACATTTTTATAATAGATTCCCCTACACCTTACAAGGTATGGCAAAATTGTGTTTATATGATTGAGAGATGAGGTGGAGGTTTACTTTTTCTTTGCAGTGGTTTGTACATAAATTAGTACAAAAGAAAGCCACTAATCATGCATTCTATTTCAGGCAAATTGATCATGAGGCTTACATGCTACTTAAAAACTAGACATAGCATATGTATTATGCAAGATATTTTGTGTAGTTATGTACAATAAAAGATGTTACAAATAACAAATGGTCAATTACAAAAGAATTACATGTTTAAATCAGTTCAATGATCTTCAGTTTTATGGAGTGATTGAATAGAGGTGATGAACACACAGGATGACAATTCATAGTATTGCTGGAAGCCAGGGTAGGCAGCTCTCATTACATTTCCCAGATGCATTCTCCCACATATGTAAGCATTACTTTACTTTTTCTTGGTTATTCTTCAAATGCATTTTTCTTTGAGCTATGTTTGGGATAGGTGTGAGTTTGTATATTTGGTGCAGCTTGGTAAGGAAATCTTTTGAGGCAAGTTATTCTGTAGCAGTTTTTCTTTTTTTTTAACACTTCGGCTATTTCCCACCAAGGCAGGGTGACCCAAAAAGAAAGAAAAAGCCAAACAGAAAAAATTCATCGTTCAACAATTTCACCTTCATTCATATGTAATCACTGTCTTTGCAGAGGCGCTCAGATATGACAGTTTAGCTGTCCCCCCAAACAGCCAATATCCCAAATCCCTCCTTGAAAGTCCAGGCAATGTGCTTCCCACTTCCAGGACTCAAGTCCTGCTAACTGGTTTTCCTGAATCCCTTCACAAAATATTGCCCTGCTCACACTCCAACAGCTCGTCAGGTTCCAAAAACCATTCGTCTCCATTTACTCCTATCTCACATTCTCTCACACACTTGCTGGAAGTCCAAGTCTCTCATCCACAAAACCTCCTGTACCCCCTCCCTCCAACCTTTCCTAGGATGACCCCCTACCCTGCCTTCCTTCCACTACAGATTTATATGCTTTCCAAGTCATTCTACTTTGTTTCATTCTCTCTAAATGACCAAACCATCTCAACAACCCCTCTGGCTAATACTTTTAGTAACTCCACACCTCCTAATTTCCGCACGACAAATTCTCTGCATAATATTTACACCACACACTGCCCTTAGACACAACATTTCCACTGCCTCCAGCCTCCTACTTGCTGCAGCATTTACAACTCATGCTTTACACCCATATAAGAGTGTTGGTACCACTATACTCATACATTACCTTCTTTGCCTCTATGGACAATGTTTTTTGTCCCCACAGATACCTTGGAGCACCACTCGCCTTTCCTTCAATTCTATGGTTATCCTCATCCTTCATAAACCCATCTGCTGACAAGTCAACTTCCAAATATCTGAACACATTCACTTCTTCCATTCTTCCTTCCTCCAATATATCAAATTTTTATCTAAATCGTTTGATACCCTCATCACCTTACTCTTATCTATGTTCACTTTCTATCTTATACAGCAGTTTTTATCTAACAGAATAATATAAAAATATTTGATAGGTAAATTCGAAGGTGTGTGGAATGTAACCCTATTTATTTACTGTCTGCATTATGAGAGGCTTTACTAAATCAAAGGCAGAATTTTTTCATATTTAAAAAGGGTTCCCATATAAAATAATCAAGGCTTCAGTGTCAAGCGGGGGGGCGAGGGGCGGATGTCCAGGAGTTGGCCCAAGGGGAGAGAATAAAAAAAAAAATTTCAAAGTATTAAGTTTTGTGCAAATCACTACACATCATACAGCAATACAAATACGTGTAAACAAGGATAATTAACAAAAATTTTGAATATATGTACTGTATATTCACTAGTTTTTTTTATTATAATCAAGGGGGAGCGCTAAACCCCAAAGGGTTTTACAGCCCCAGGGGAAGGGGGGTGTGGGGAAACATTCGGCTTAATTCGGGGAAATGGGGCACAGATCCAATTTTTTAAATCAAGAGCCCCCCAACATCAAGGACCCCTTCCATGAGGGGGGATATTCACTAGAAATCCATACTTATGAAAGGAACTTTATGAAGACACTTCATTTCTTTCTGGACCATTGTCAAGTCACAAGGAGGTGAGAAGGGAAGGCCAGAATATAGATCTACAAGATAAGGTGACTGAAGAAATGTGGTTGTAGAATTAGCAGCAGTGGAAGTGGTAGTAAAGATAGCAGAATTGGTAGTAATGATGATAATGACTGATGGACTGAACACATCATCTCTAGACTGAGGGACTGATTACCTCAAATTCCCTTTTCACATCTTTCACTGATTTCTCTGTACTGGACTGATAAAGTTACTTTGTGGCAAAATGTTTCCACACTAGAGATACCCAAGTGTTGCACGAGTCCCGATCATGTACAGTACTCGCCAGTTTTCTAAAAGTATTAGTATCATATACGACAAAACTTTTTCTGTCAGCTAAACATTCTGAGGGCAGATCCAAGAGCTAGGGCTCACTCCCTTCTGCCTTGCCTTCACAAACTAATACTGTAGATAGTTTCACTCAAGCTCAGGAAAAAAAAAAATATGAATTTTCATTATTCCCCTGTATTTTTATAAATTAAAAATACAAAACTTCAACAAAAAAAAGTATCTTTAATTATATTTACTCACAGAAGAAAGATTTCCATATTGTAAAAAAATTATATTAAGTAGGAATGCAGGAAAGCTTGCTTTACAGCATTCTCTTTACGGTGTTTTGCTAATACGGTTTTGTCAATTATACCCAGTCTTCATCTATTCCGACTTCCTACAATAAATATATTCACCAAATGCTATACGCAAAGGACTAAAATATATTCAATTTAAATAATGTGTGTACGTATATGCATTTTTTTAGGCCTAGCTCTTCGGGCTCACTTAATATATGATAGTGTAAACATATTATCAGCATAAGCATTTAAAAGGATATGTTTCACTTTACAGTGGTAGCCTGAAACTGAACTTGCTGTATAAGTGGGGCCCCCTGTATTTATTTAGTTCTGGAAACTTATACTGCTGCTGTGTACAAATTGTTTATCTTTGCAGTTTTACGACTAAAATGCGGGTTGTGTAAACCTGTGAAGTACTAAGAAAAAAAACGATGAGGGTTTTACTTGGTCTCTAAGTATACAATCATTATTGGACAAATCTTATGTATATTAACTCGAAATATTTTAACCGTCATTCTCACATGAGAAATTACCGTTAAAGACAACATGTAAAAGCTGAAGAAATTAACAATAATCTTTTTTACATGTATTGTCCAAACTAATAACTTCTGATTCAAAGCAGTGAAGTATGTAAAAATTTCCCCTTGGGATGACTTACCCACTCCAATTCTTTAGTTGGCCATGGCTATTCCCTTACACATGCATGCATTTGCGAGATTATATGGTAGGTACTTTATAGAAAATACAAAAAAAAAAAAAAAACTCCCACAACCCTACTGCTTATCTTTAGCTAACTCAATTCACCCGTGGGTCCCAATACCCATTACAATGCTTTTAATGCTGCACCTTTCTTCTAGCTATGGTATATAAGTGCCAATTTCCTGCTTCTGTTTCAGACTGATCAAGGCTAAGTGACTGATTACTCTTCCACTGTCTAATATATACCCAGGTTTTTGCAAGTGTGCCTATATGCATGATCATGATATAAGTGAAAAACAGCTTTCCTCATATATGCCAAATTTAAACTTTTTGGACTTTGTGCCAAAAATTAAAATATATTTCCTCGTATTAACAACGAGCTACTCGTAATGAAGTAAATTAAAATACTGCACTGTAATTTCCAATTTTTATGTCACGGTAAATCCCCTGTATCTTCTGTATCACATTTTAGTTTAACAAAAAACACTAAAGTTCCCATAAATTACAGTATTTTATTTAGAAAAATGTACTGTAGCAGCTACCCCAATAGCTGATACTGTACAAAGTCCCATAACAGGTTTTCCCTGGTAAATGGATTTACCAGGTAAAACCTGGTTAAAATGAATTGGGAAGTGCCCATCAGTCTAATGGTGGGCAACTGGTGTGGCTGACTGAGCAAAGATGGTGGCACAAACTGTGGCCCACTTCTTTGAACACTGGTAGGCATGGAGCTGGTCATTTTGCTACACAACCATACGTACTACACCCAACACACCATCACACTTATCGGGAAAAGGGTCAACAAATTAATGCCAAGTACGTATATTTTCATTTCTGCACTCATAAATACTCATGTGAAAACTGCTCTGAAATATCAATTACTATACCCATAATTTTATTTGCTCACCTAAA